AAGGATAATTTACTTATTTTAAGTTTTTATGTGGCCAGTGTTGTAAGAGTGCTGTAGGGAGATATAGATGGTCATGAGGTAATAAGCTGCGTAAGCTGCTTGGACAGTTTTAACAGGTGTTTGTGCTCTTGTAATATATATGATACTGCCATGCTGTGTGGAACAAGATCATTTCCCCAGCCTGAAGGCTTGATAAAAGGAAAAATAAAATGGGAACTGGATGTAAAAGGGTTGCAGTTAACTCTGTAAGAAGTGTTAACTTACGTAAGATACAATATTATCCTAGCTATTAGTTTGGGGTGGAATATCTCTGTTAATGGTTATTATCTGCAAATGGAACTATTATAAAAACAGAACTTTGAATATTTGTAAGAATAATGTATGTTTTGAAACTGAAGGGATTATTTTTCTGTTTTCTGCAAAGTAACCTCAATTTTGGGGGCCTAAACATAGTCAAAGATTCACCAAACCAAATTCAGACGCGGCAAAAATTTAGTTTTCATTATCGTTTTTTATGGTTTTCGCGCATGGGCGTGGCAAAATGGCTCGCTAGTGCCCCCTACAGAGCAGCCCCTGGACAAAGTTTCACCTACGTATATGAAATTTCTTTGGTAGGTGTATCCTGTCCAGATGTACAGAAAGGTCTCTTGGAGCCATTGACTCAACCCAACAGGAAGTCGGCCATTTTGATTTTAATGATCATTTTTGGCGATTTACACACTTTGTACTTTAACGAACTCCTCCTAGAGATTTAGTCCGACCGACTTCACGTTTAATTTGACGTTTAAAAGTTATTCAAACAGTTATTAGCAGTCGACCAGTTTGCCCGGGGCGTGTCGTCAAAATCCATGATTCACCATGAAACAGGAAGTTCTTATAACTTAAGTCTACATGCTCACATCTGCACAAAACTTTACGTGCTTGATAACAGTCACGCCCCGAACACATCGACATGCCAAAATTAAGTTATAGTCATAGCACCAAGTGCTATGTAGCGCCACAAAATGGACACAGGAAGTGATAATTAACACATTTGTGCAGCATACGAAGCACGTGGTAAATTAACAGCCACACTGTCAGAGCTCCAGAATCTGCAACACGGCCGCCTCACACCTCGACGTGCTACACGTGCGAGGGCCCACCCAACGCTGCTTGCAGCTTTAATTCTTCTTTGTTTTGTTTTTAATTGAACATTTGGTGTGATGTTTCAGTATGTTAATTTGTTAAATCTCTGCACCCCCCAGGTCCTTCTCATCAGTTTAGAGTATGGCACATTCAGGTGGCAGCTCGGACATGCTGACCAGTACTTCCAGATACACAGTGGTGACAATAAAATTAACTTCATTGTGCACACAAAACAGGTAAGTACTCCAGGACATTTCCAAAACTATTCAAATGGTTGAGAGAGTTTTTTTATAAGCTGAATATTTTGATGACAATCCATTCGCAAGGATGAACGCTCGAAATCAGTTTAAATATGGAAGCACTGTCTCTTATGTTCGTTATTTCCTTACAGGCTGGCCTTATTGTGAAGCTTTTGATGAAGCTGAGTGGACAGATGACTCCAAATGATAAAAGTGTAACGGACAAATATGCCTATGGCTGAAAAACTGTTTAAGAAACTACAGCTGCGAAAGATCCCAGTGCAGGTTCTTCTTACTGACTCTCATTTGACTGCAATAACTCTGGATGAAGAGCGAAGTCGGCCATCCACGAATCCTCATTTTATATATTAGGCCTATTGATAGCTTTCACAACTTCACATTGTGCATTTTGACAAGTCATTTATTTTGAGTGCCTGTAAATATGTTTATTTAATTGTTTTAATAAATGGATTGACGTATGAATGAGAATGTATTGCGAGTTTGTGTTATCTTTAATTAACAAAATTAATTAAAAAAAGTTTGAGTGAAACATCTTACACAACATTAGGCTGATGATGATTTTCTAAAAATGTTCAGAAAATAATTTTACTGTGCGATGCAAATATGACACACTGGGTAATGTTAGAAATAGAGTACTTAATTGCATTGAATGTGGCTAATATTTGAATACAAAACAAGATACTACAGAAATAATTGCCTAGGAATGCCATAAAAAGCATTGTGTAGTATATTGAATGTAAAGCTTATGTTGTGTGCCTGATAAGCCACATTAATGAAATATACCTAATTAAAAACCTATTTAAAATGAATATACCATATCATGAAAGAAAAGGTCCATAGCCTACTTTATTTATTTATTTATTAACTTTGAAATATTGTTTTATAGGCTTAGGACATATCTAAATTTCAAACTTAACTAGCTTTTGTTAGATGAAAATATCAATTTTGCCATTCCAATATTCTAATGACATCCTAATGGATTAGCCTCAAATACACTATGATACAGTGGACACTTGGGTACATTTTAATTGTATTTTACAAGTTAAGAAAAAGTCAAACTAGAATAGGCATTTCCTAAAGAAAACGCTCGGGAGATCTGCCAGCTGTTAGCTCCTGTAAGGCTGCTACCACTGCTGCAGTAAAGTGCTGCTCTATCAACAATTCTTCAAATCCTTTAGTTCCACCTAAAGGTAAAAGAATTTGTCACATGCCTCAGACTTGCTAAGCAAGCAGCTGGTTAACATGCCCTAAATTGAATTTGAACGCTCAACCTTTGAATCTAAAAGGCAAGAGCTTACCCACTGGACTATTCAGATACATTGTAAGATTAATGCTTTTAACTTTCTAGCTTGATCAGATGTGTTGCATTGACATGAAATGCCACCAATGCACCAATAGAGGGCACTCCATGACCACAAATGGCTGGCACATCACTATTATGCTTACAAATGTAATTTCTATGACAGTCCACTGTTGGAGAACAAAATGAAGACAGCAGTCATTAAGAAACATATTGATGTCCATGTAAACAATTATTACATTTACAAATACAGACAATAAACAAATTTTAAAAACATCCTCTACAAGTCAGTAGGAACTGAATATTGTGTTGTACGTCATTAAGTTCAAACTAGGGTACCCCTAGGGTCTTGAAAGAAAAACATTTACGTTTCTCAAAATAAGACCTTAAAAGTATTACATTTCTTTTTCAAATATCTTATTTTTTTCCTTGTTGTCCTTTCATAGGATGAGACACTGTCAAATGTAGGCCTATAGGTTATCTAATGTGAAGAGGTGTGTCTCATTTGCCTAATGTAGTACTAACATTTGGCATTAATTTGGACTCTCCCCCGGAGTAGCCTACTCTGTCAAACACCATACAGCTGTGTGAAGTATAAAGCCGTGATCAATTAACACCTTTGTTTATGGTGGAATTTGAAGCTTCTGACACCATAAAGTCGTACTGCTTTCAAGTCGGATGCTCTACTGAACCACACTTATGATTGTGCTCACAATTTGACCTTTTGGTGATGAAAAAAGGGCATCTACCATAAAAAGAAAGCTTTTTAGCTGTCATTTTTGTATTTACAGTTAGAGTTTGAGTAGCTGAGCATTAAAATATAGACTTTATCACTCCAAACATGAAGTAAGATGTTGGGTAGTTTAAGAACTAGGTAGAGGATGAGAACTCAGTCTGCAGTTTGTACAGAAGTGAATGAAATCACAACTGTGAGTTAAGTTAAGGTTTAAATCTCAAAACCTTAAGAGGAAAATTTAAAAAAAAGCTTTACAACCCTTCACTTTGGAAGTAAGTATATCCTAAACTAAACATTTTTAGCAAATACCAGGTACAACCTTGAAAGAAAGTTTAAAGCTCAAATGGAATCTGTAACTCCACATATTCAAGGATTCAAGGTAATTTGTCACTTTACAACAGGGTTGGAAAAATTCTGTTTGCAACTCCCTTCTGCTTCATAGCAGACAATAAACTGTCAATATACAATACAGTAATCATTAAAAAGGTAAACGGAAATAAATTGTTCTACATGGAGCACTGTAGGGGATGAATTACTTGAATGATTAAATGTGGGGTATAATGACTTTTACTGAGAGGAGTAAAAGCTGTCTGCATTGTGGTGGTACCACAGCAGATAGGCCAGAAGGCAGCAGGGTGAACAGGCTGTGGCTGGGGTAAGTTGCTGTCTTTTAATATACTTTGGGCTCTGCATAGGCATCACAGCTCACTGATAGGGTAACATGGGGTAAGACGCCCCCCAGTGTAATTCTAACGAAACATTTCCTCTGGCTGCCGATAGTCTCACCAAAAATGTCCTCTGTTTCATCACAATTTTTTGTAAAAGTTATCTGATCAAAATCATTCTGAAATAAGTTGATGTAATTTTTAGTCATTTAAAATAAGATGTATGTTTTGAAATTGTGTTCAATTTTTATGTATGTTTACATTAAGGAGAGCCTCAAGATAAGTTATGCAATTGTTTAGAGGGAAAGATTTATATAGTTTTTCGTTAAAGTAGTCAAATGCTAGATTAGTATGTTGGGCTTTTAAAGTTGAATAGGTTGGAAGAAAGAGTCTCTACTCCCACAGGAAACCATTCATTTAATATAATAAAAGTAATAGTATACATCTCATGAAGATGTAGGCTACATTTTTAAGTCGAAACAGAGTTCGTAGGACAAATACTATATGAGGGGATGATAGATGCCATAAAACGGCATATATATATAAACCTATAATCATAAAGGACAAAAGTAAAACCTGCAATGAGAAATCATTACAATTCGCCCTGCTGTTGTGACATCATATAGCAAGACATCGGTTCAGGTACCGACAGCCAATCATAGGGGAGTTGCTTGACAGACACGCGGTCAACAGCCAATAAGAAGCCTCCGTTGGTCAGGCGGGGGCAGGACCAGTAGTGACAGGTAGAGATGTTGGTGGGATATCACTAACGGTATCCCAACATGAACATAAGATGGACTGCTGGCGTTGAAACTTTAAACAAGTGAACATTTCTTTTACCACCGTGAAGCTTTTCTTCCAGGCTTTTAGTGAAACGTTTGTTTTAAAGGACAGATCCCGCGGAGGAAGATAAAATGTCTATGCATTTGTATGAAGTGAGCAGTAAACTGCTCGGGGACACTGTTGAGAATCTTAACGACAACTTGACCTCCGTGTTGCTGGCAGCCTCTGTCATCACTCTCACTCTGGGATATGTTACCAAGATGCTGCTTAAACAGTCCTCTGACAAGGATCTGGTAAGTTAGAGCTAAACAGGAAAAATTCAGCGCAAAAAAATAAAGAAATGCATGTTGAAAGAAATGCATTCAGTTTGTATTCATCATTCACTGTTATCATGTTTCTTCTTGCAGAATTACCCACCTTACATACCCTCCAGCATCCCCTTCCTGGGCCATGCCATTGCATTCGGAAAAAGTCCCATTGAATTTCTTGAAAATGCTTATGAAAAAGTAAGTATTTCAGTAGGCTACAACTGGAATTACTGGTCAAACTGTTCAGATGATAAATCAAGTGTTTGAGTAAATAAAAAAATCAAATATGCCCCAAAATTCCCTGTTCCAGCTTTTCAAATGTGGATATTGGCTGCTTCTCTTTATCTTTTGTGATATTAAACTGAGTATCTTTAGGTTTTGGACTCCTGGTCAGAAATAAAACTATATGAATTTATCAAAATGGGCGCTGAGAACTTGCAAACAATGAATGAATCAAAAAATACTAGACAGATAAATTGGTAATGAAAAGAATCACTCATGCAAAGACACAGATCACTTTGAAAGACTTCTGAAAAACATGCGATTCACACACGTACACACTTGACCTTTACACCTAGTAGTTCCTAACTTTTTTGACTTGTGTCGCCAAAGACATAGTGTCTACTTGTTCGTTTTTATTTTTTATTTATATAGAGTCAGTTGATAACAGACGTGATCTCATTTCTCTTTTCATATGGCAGGGGTTGTTTGTATATGGTTTATGACCAGTAATTAAAAAGTCTTAGAAGCCTTAAAAGCTTCACAAGTAAATCACGGGAAAAAAAAGAAAAGAAGCAAAAATAGGAGAGAGAATTAGATTTATCATCTCGTAGCCCCTCAGATTTATTTTGTCCTGAACCCCCCAAAGCCCTGTTTAATCGCCTGCGTCTCTGCTGTCAACCCACAGTACGGCCCTGTGTTCAGTTTCACCATGGTGGGGAGTACGTTCACCTACCTGCTGGGCAGCAATGCAGCCACGCTGATGTTCAACAGCAAGAATGAGGATCTGAATGCAGAGGACGTCTACTCCAAACTGACTACTCCAGTGTTTGGCAAGGGAGTAGCCTATGACGTCCCGAACCCTGTGAGTCCACCTTAACTGTGAAATTGAAGGAAAATGTAAAAATCAGTGAAAAATCCTACCAAGTTAATGATTGCTAGAAAATTAATCCCTGTATATTACAGTTGCATCAAATCAGATGTAATACACACTTTCTTTAATATGTTATAGATTTTTCTGGAACAAAAGAAGATGTTGAAGACGGGACTGAACATCGCTCGTTTTAAGGAACATGTGAAAATCATCGAGGCAGAGACCATCGAGTATTTTCAGAGATGGGGAGACAGCGGGGAGAGAAGTAAGATCCTTCACGAATCACAAATCAAGTGGCATGATTCAGTTTTAATCAGACGTCTCCTAGTTTGTTTGTGATGTCCAAAATGGCACAACTTAAATATGTATTATCTATAAAAAATGACTAAGTAGTGATAAAAAGACAAATTTCTTGGTGTATCTGCAAACTGATTACGGTCATCTCATATCACGTTTAATCAACAACTGAACAAATAAAACTATTTAGAGGGGAGGTCAGGTAGATGGTTTGTCAGCCTGATTGCTCTGGACTGTAGGGAATGATCTCTTTGCCTGTTTCAGACCTGTTTGAGGCTTTGTCTGAGCTGATCATCCTGACAGCCAGCAGCTGCCTTCACGGGAAGGAGATCCGCAGCATGCTGAATGAGCGAGTGGCCCAGCTCTATGCCGACCTGGACGGAGGATTCAGTCACGCTGCCTGGCTCCTGCCTGGGTGGCTGCCGCTACCCAGCTTCAGGTGGGACTGCTGGAGGAACTCAGGACACACACATCTGTTGACAGTCAACATCCGCACTGTCACAGTTATTATCAGACAAGAGCACATTCATATACATTTTTCAGATGTACAGCACATTTAACACAAATATAACTTTTTCTTTTTTTGTTAGGAAAAGAGACAGAGCTCACAGGGAGATCAAGAACATTTTCTTCAAGGTGATTCAGAAGCGTAGGCAATCTGGAGAGAAAGTGGACGACATCCTGCAGACCCTCATCGATGCCACCTACAAGTACGATAGCTTCAATATCCGAGGACATTATCCAGGAAATGACAGCATGGTTTCAATTAGGGCTGCAACTAACCATTCATTTCATTGTTGATTAATCTGTCGATGTTTTCTTGATTAATTGATTAAGTTGTTTGGTCTATAAAAGATGACGTCCCCAGATGTCTTGTTGCCAACACTCCACTATTCAGTTTACTGTCATAGAGGAATAAAGACAAAATATCCACATTTAAGAAGCTGAAATCAGAGACTTTTGATTTGAAACAGATAAATCGATTTTCAAAATAGTTGGCAGTTAATGTAATAGTTGATAAATAACTTATTAATCATTGCAGCTCTAGTTTAAATTCTAAGCTTGTGCTGCTGGATCACAGTTTGGCCTTCTCATGTTGAAGTGGCTCTTTATAAACATGCAGACATTTATTTGTAGGTCTCCAAGCACGGTTGACGGTTTTGCAAGATGCAGGATGGGAGAATTTCCTCAAATTGTCGAGGAGTACGAGGAGTACTTTAATACTTTATTTAAATCTATAAGCAATGACAATGTAATTTTGGTGTGTGAAGACACAGTTTATATTGTTGGAACTGTAATTTAAAAAGTCTTAACAAGGTGATGTTGTCTGTCGAAAGTGCTCTGCTAAAACATGTAAAATACGGTTATGGCCCTTTAAACCTTTATCAATTCTGAAGATAACCTTATTTCCCCCTTCAGAGACGGACGACCCCTGAACGATAACGAGATTGCGGGGATGCTGATCGGTCTGCTCCTGGCGGGTCAGCACACGTCCTCCACCACCAGCGCCTGGATGGGCTTCTTCCTGGCCAGAGACAAAGCTCTGCAGGAACGCTGCTGCGCTGAGCAGAGGGCCGTCTGTGGAGAAGACCTGCCTCCACTCGACTTTGATCAGGTAAGGCTCGGTGCTTGTATTGGCCATAATTATCACAATACACTAAATGAAAAACATGTCTGAAAATAAATAACATGACAAAACCATTATATCAACAAGAGTAATTACAGTAGGTACAAAATGGTATCGTGTCATTTGCGTCTCTGGGTTTTCCTACTTGATTGTGTAGACCAGGGGAGGCCGGTCTCCCACTGGTGTAGACAAAACACTAGGGAATGCTCCCCCTCCTGATTGTACAAAGTTAGAGCAATAGCAAATATAAATTCTCTAAGTCAAAATACCGCAATCATGCATACAGATCCCATTTTCGTAAAGGAAATACACCAAAACTCACAGATTTTCCATCAGAACAGACCCGCTGTTTATTGAGAGACTGCAGTCTGCACTGTGTGTACAACATGTTACTTGTTGAATTCAGGTTAAAAGCCTACTGTATTAGTCTTTATCGGTTGAACCCAGCACATGAAGACGATTCAGTCCGTGACACAGACAGTAACTAGTGAAAGTGACAGATTTGCTCCAAATAATTTCTGTTTTTGGTATAAGTAACGGCTCCTCCGGGCTGTGTTTTGATGTGAATAGAGAAACCTAAGAAACAGTTTGTGAGTCGTCATATTGTCCTGGTTTTGTCCTCAGCTGAAAGATCTCAGCTTGTTGGAGCGCTGTTTGAAGGAGACCCTGCGTCTCCGCCCACCCATTATGACTATGATGAGGATGGCTCGCTCGCCTCAGGTAAGAACACCTGAGATCTTAGTCCTGAATCATGTCCAGTCATGTTCTACAAACGCTCCTGTCTAGTCCTTTTGGTATATCTTTTTAGCATTTGAAAATTGTTTTAATTTTATTGCTCCATTTCTCAGTACTGTGTGCTTTATTCTCAGACTGTAGCAGGATACACCATCCCTGTGGGCCATCAGGTCTGCGTCTCCCCAACTGTAAACCACCGTCTGCATGACAGCTGGGTGGAGAGGATGGAGTTCAACCCTGACCGCTACCTCAACGACAACCCCGCTGCAGGGGAGAAGTTTGCTTATGTGCCGTTTGGCGCTGGTAAGAAAAATTTATACTTTTGTAAATACAGTCTCTTTTATGAAAGAAGTCAAGAAATTTTATGTTCCCCTCAAGTTCAACCCAGGTTAACTCAATGCCAAACCTGTAAACTAAATTTTAGTTTTTACAGGAATTTCTGCGCAATCAGTGCAATAAATTAAGCACTAAGTTGAGTTTTTGTTCATTGTTAAAAAGCAGTCTCATCAACTCAACTCATGAGTAATTCCATTTGTCAATAATAAACATGATAAATTAAGTCAATTGTGTTTCTAAATCAACAAAGACATCTAAAATTCAAGTACTTTCACAACTTGTGTTTGAGTTTGCTTTTCAATATTAGCGGTTGCTTTAAAACTGAGCATGCCATCAATAATTTATCCAACTTGTACCTTTGTTTTTCGCTCTTCAGGCCGCCATCGCTGCATCGGGGAGAACTTTGCCTACGTCCAGATCAAAACCATCTGGTCCACTTTACTGCGCATGTACGACTTTGAGCTGGTGGACGGATATTTCCCCACAATCAACTACACCACAATGATCCACACCCCTCACAACCCAGTCATCAGATACAAGAGGAGAAAACAGTGAGAGACTGATGGAAAACAGTGGAGGGGCAAAGACAAGAGGGAACAGTCAAACATCACGAGTGTTTGAAGTAAAGCTCAAACGTCCTGGGACTTGAATTTAGGAATATTTAGATGAATGCACTTTGCTCTGCGTAAATGTCCAACTTGTCACTTTTCTGAGCTTCTTGTAGCCCTTTTTTTCTGAATGTCAACATAAATACATGACTTTCGGAAACGCGTGTTTCCAGAAATAATTACAGTGACTGTATGACTCTGATCCTAATATTCACAATGTGAATTCCTCAAAATAAAGTAATACAGTAACACAGTGCGTTGATGGTGGGAACCCTAGCAAAATTTATTCAGTGGAGAACTGCAAAACCAAGCAGAGGGTCTTGCTTTAGCCCATAGTCTGATAACAGCAAAACAGCACCCACTGTAAATGGCTGTAAGCTGCAGGTGCACAGAGAGCCTGAATCAGCTGTTGTGGGATGTTTCCACACTGTCACCGAGCATTTTGCTGGATCGCCATCCCATTTACACAGAATCAGATGGGACACCCAAAAAATGATCTCTAACTAAAAAGGTCATGGCTCAAAAGCTGCAATCCACAACATCCTACCTTTTAGGAGGTAAACTGTTTTGAACCATTTTCCTTGCTGTGACATAAACTTTGAATAAAGTGTTTTGAAGGTGACCTGAACTTATTAGGAGCTTCCCACCCTGAGTGAACGAGCACCGACTGATCTTTTGTGTGAAGGGCAAGTTAAAACATCCCACTGCACAATGTGATGTTGTTTACAGGACACAGAAATGTCTCCTCTTTACAGAAAATATTTTGCTTATCACGGCATATTTTGGTTTATTTTCTTCCATGTGATTTCCGTTTATCTTGTTCCAGAAGAAACTGTTAATATTAAACATGTCTATTCCTAATTCCTGCAAACTGTAAAGATCACTCATCTTGACAAAATAAACATTCAAGTGTTTTGCCTAGTTTTTATGTTTCTTTGAAAAGAAGAGATATTTATCTTCTCATCAGTTGATAAACAAGAAATTAAAAACACAATTGTTTAAAATCATGTAGTCCTCTTTATTTCAGTTTTTGACAAAATACCCAGAAAATTCAAAGCTCCTACACGTTACAAAAATACGCTCTCTACAAATGTCCTCTGTAGTCTGTCTGGCCTAAATAAAACACAGTGTAGTGTGGAATATCCAGTAGCAGCCTCCTTAACAGTAAACCCAAACATTCCCTACATAACGCGCCACCCGTACAACACAAACATAAATTAATCACAAGGTCTTAAATTAGCATTAGACAAATATACATGATCGTAGTTCATCCACAACAAAGAGGCAGATTAAATTACAAACATAGCCGTTTTTCAAGTGCTGGCGACAAAAAAGCCTGAATACAACATGTCGTACACTAATAAAAAAATGCGTTTTGGTCCACATGGAAAGATACAGTCCACACCAGACTGATAGAAAACAGCAGAGCGCTCAGCACGAGAAAAGGCAACTGAGTTTCTTCAAGCCAGAGTAATTTGATGGCATCTATCTTCTCAAGCCAAAGTGCAATTGAGCATATGAAGAAGCACCTGCGGAGAAAATAAAAGTCCAACAAGTCAATTTTAAAACTTTATAGTGAAAAAACTGCTGGAAATAATGAAATACTGATTATGAACAATTAACATCTTCATTAAAGTTTATCTGTTTATTTCTAAATTGAACCTCAGTCCCCCGCACAGTGTGTCTGCGTGAGATAGTGCCTTAAAATGAGGCTGTGTTTCCCGCGTTAATGAGGGTCCATATAAACAAGCTGTTGCTTTTGTAGTCACAGCTTCTTAAGTAAAGCTTATCTGACACACAGCATTGTGACTCTTGCTGACATTCTTAAAAATTGCTTTTATTAAATAGTTTATTTTGTAGTATATTCATTCAAGTGCTATACAGTACAGAGTTCTGTCTTTCCATAGCATTAAAATACCAAATCAGTGAACATGCCCTCTATCAGTGTTTTGCTGGACCACCGTGAACCAGTTATGTGTACTCAAAACAGTCAATATGCATCCCAAAACGCTGTTGTTAATCTACACTACTCTCCCCTTTAGGTGCTTACATCTGATAAAAAACGATGTTGGTGAAACAAAAAATGACCATTAAGCTTTCTCTTAAATTTTTATTGGCAGCGGTGCTCTAAATAGTATATAATGGTTTACATACATTATGCTAATTTCTTGTTTACCGACTGCAAAAAAGTCTACTATAAAAGCTAGTATGTACAGTATACCGTACAATTAGTATTTAGTACAGAACTGGGACATGGCGTATTGTGTGTGTTACCTGATGTCACACTCCCCAGCCTCCTCTGCAGTGCCTCCAGCCTGGAGATGTAGTCCGTAAGCGCTCGGTCGGGGTCGTAGTTCTGCAGGTGGGAACAGGTGAGAGCTCCATGGTCCCCGGCCATGTGAAACCTACACAACACAGACACAACAGGCATCAGCCTTTCACTAACAGAACGGACACAATATTTCACCATGACAGATCTAAATTCTGATCTGAGTTAGCCTTCAATTTATAGACTTTTGTAAAAATTCATATAAACTTTTTCTTATATATTTATGTCAATATATATATGATATCTGGTGATAATCATTATTTTTTGTTTTTTAAAGACTAATCTGGATAGATTAACTGATAACAGTAATTGTTACTTGCAGCCCTATTTTATGTTGCACCTGTGTTGTGTGGAGGAGACAGCCGATCTGGGCGATTCACGTCCACTTCGCCCCCTGCTGCCGGAGACTCCTCCTCCTCCTCCACTTCCTCTTTCTCTGTACATGTCCACGTTGCTGGGATGAAGATAAGGTGAGTCTCTCATGTCTGTACCTGAGAGAGATGAATAAAAATCTACTGAGCATCACTTCTGAAATATTCTCTCCGATACGTAGAAGCCAAAAACATTTGAAAATGTCTTCGTTACCTAATGTTGCTCCTGCTCCATTCTTGCTGACGCTGCAGGAGGTTGTGGAGGTCATCCCTGTCGCCTTGTGCCATCGCTTCACTAAGAAACGCATTCTGAACAGAGAATGTGTGTAGGTTTTAGCTTTATAAAATAAAGTTTGGACTCTGTGTGACTGCATATACAACTTGTTGTAGCGCGAGGAAGCTCCAGCTGCCTACCTGGAGAGGGCGATAGAGACTCGGACGGCAGAGCGGAAGCGCATCAGCCCCCGGCGGCGCTGGCTGACGGACTCCAGGCTGGAGAGAGACGGCTTGCTGCCCATCCTGGAGAGGAGCGACAGCGTGGCTTCCTCACACTCCTGGAAGCCGCCCAGCAGTAACAGCAGATACTTCTTCTGGTAGATCAGCGCTTTGCGGAAGCTTTCTGACCTCAAGTACTTCCCGTAAATCCTCTGGAGGCAAAGGAAAGGAGCAAAAATGATAAGCTTTTCTTAACAGCAGAACTCCTCAGATAGGAGGTGAATAACAGTGACGTGTTAGGTAGTTAACTGGTTCGTCTTTAGCTGACCTTCAGTGCAGCATTGTCGGCCTCAGGTCCAGTTATCTCCCTCTGGATGTCGGTCCTGATCTCCCCCCTGAGTCGGGCCGCCTGGGCCTGGGCCAGATGTAAAGCTTTCTCCAGGCGGACCTTCTCTCTTGTCCAAGCCTCCCGCTCCTGGGAAAGTAGCATACCTGCTGAGTCTGCCTTTGACAATCCTCTCCTGCTGCTGAACTGTAGGAGGAAATTAAATAATGGTATTTAGTTGAAGTCTGAAACAGCTATCCACACATGAGTCACTAGCATCTAATGTCATCTTATAGTTTTGGCTGCTGCATCTCGATTAATGTTTTGTTTTTTATTCTACTTTTCACTATACGTTATTGTTTGAAAGGGACAATCATCTAACCCTCCATCAGTAGTATTTCCTGTCATGTACTCACACTGTTGCCTGATCCCAGTCCAGCCTGCCGGTAGCGTCGAAGCTCTTCCTCCAAGCGGAGCGTGTCGTTCCTCAGATCGTTCTTCTCTTCTGTCAGACGGCTGACAAAACCCGTCAGCTCGGCGTTCTGCCTCAGCAGGCGCTCCGTCAGGGAGTTGGAGGAGCTTGAAGAGCCTCCCGCCAGCAGGGAAACACTCTGCGGGGAAGCACACACAAGCAGTCTCAACCATGTGTGGTCATGAGCTCACAAGTCCACACGTTTGGAAAAATAAAAAAGTTTATCTGAGCTCATCGGCAAAGTGAAAATTCTTCTTTTGACCAAATTTGGCAACATGTAAACAGTTCCTCAATTATGTTTTGGCAAGAATTTGGTCTTCTATAATGCTTCTGTATATCATCAATTAAAATTTAACTTGTGTCAAGAAATATTCAATGTATTCAAAGTATCGAAACCAAAGGAGGTTAAAAAAAACTATAAAAACAAACAAACAAGAACAGTTTCTGACCTCGGGGACGGAGGGTAGAACTGGTGATTGCTGCAGCATGGTGATGACCTCATCCACATTGGACTGCACCCAGGATAACTCTTCACTGTCGACCTCTGCGGTCAGCCTACACACAACATGTACAAATCATTAATTCCTACAGCGTATTCATGTATGGATTCTGTATCATGAGATCCATTGTTGATATAAAAACTTTGATTATAGATGCTTCAAATACCTTCCAGTAGTCTTGCTTGCCATGCTGCGGATCTTTGAGGAAACGAGGTGGAGTTTGCCCAGGATCTTGTCAGTTGTGCGCCAAGGACCGTGGTGTGGTCCGCTGGTGCGGCCTGTTACAGAGACCTCCGGGTGGGGAGAAGTGCTGGAGCTCGCTGGCTGAACATTTCCACTCTGCTGCTGGAACACCCAGTCTTTGGTGCGTTGGGGGGACTCGCTGTGCCAGGCCGCCTGCTGTTGGGACAACAACACAATACTTTATGGGTCAAGAAGCTCGATTAAAAAAAACTCACTACTACTAAATTACTTAAAGGTCAAGATTTATTAGGAGTGTGTGAATGGTGTTTGATACTCACACTGTGGCCATGAACCTGCAGTGGTCCGCTCTCCTTCCTCCCTCCTCTCTGCTCTCCTGACTGGTTCAACCTCTCCTCCAGTCTGTCCTTCTCTTCTTCGAGAATCTTCCTCCTCTCCATCTCTCTCTCCAGCTGCTCCTGGGCCTCGGACATTCGTGCTTCCAGCTGCTGCAGCTGAGCCCGAGCCTCCAGTAGCGCCTCCTGATCCCACCTCGACCTCTGAGTCCCCAAAGTCAGCTCCTCCTCTTTTCGTACCACCTCAAGCTTCTGGGCCTCCACCTGACTGAGGAGGTGAACCACCTGGAGAAGAAAAACAAAGACAAATAATGACTTAAAAATTATTTTACTGATGATAATAGATTAATAGTGTTTCGTATTTTTCCCCCTCAACGTCTATTGTCATTGCATCATGAAAGCTTTGATAAATTTCAGTGGCTAAAACAAAAACCCTCTGAGTACTTAATGACATAAGATAACCATTGGAAAATATTTTGAGCTGATTCAGTGTGCAGATATTTTATATACTTTGATACAAACAAATACAATCTGTGAAAGTAGGAAGACTAAACTGATTCCTTGTGAAGCAAAATATAAAATCAGTCTGGCATATACAACTATTTAGCAAGTTTAAAAAAAGGGCCAATTGTGACTTTTGATAATAAAACTGGTTAGATTTAATCTGAAATATTTTGCAAGGAGGTTTTCGTCGTGATTTGAATAAATTTCAGAGGACTTACAGGTAAAACTGCACAGTTTTTCCATACAGTATACAATAAAACATAATTTTAAAAGTTTAACATTTAGTATAGCAGAATGTCATCTTTTTTATCCTACTCCTGTACTCATCTCACAACCCGATAGATTCATCTCCAGAGCCACAGGTGGGGAATGACTAGTTTAGTAAAATCACCTTTCTGGTAAAGGCCCAGAAGGCTCAGAATATAATTTTTGATTTATTTTAAGTTTTA